ACAACCTTTCAGCTTGGTAGAATATGCCTTGATATCCTGAAAGACAAATGGAGTCCTGCTCTACAGATCCGAACTGTATTATTGAGGTAATATGAAAATTACAGTTCTATATTAATAGCTAAAAGTAGAAATTTGATATTCTCTGGCTTGAAATAAGGGAGAATTTTGAAGTTCATGCTGAATGATTTTGACATTAGCATTTTGCAAACAAATTAATTGATACTACTATTACTTGTTTTCTTGTCACCAGCATTCAAGCACTCCTGAGTGCTCCAAATCCGGATGATCCTCTTTCTGAAAATATTGCCAAGCATTGGAAGACAAATGAGGCTGAGGCTGTTGAAACAGGTAGGGGGAATGATTTTTTGTGAGATCTATTACCTGCAACCTATGACTCTATGCCATACTCAATGGACTTAGGACCCAGCTTATCATGCCCCTCCTCCAGAGCTGTGGTAAGCCAGTCCTGAGGTCCATGGTAACCTTTTGATGTTCATTCTTGTATTCCAAGTTATTGATATGCATGCCATTTGTTTTGAGACCAAAAGATGACTGCTTTTGTTGGTTTTCAGTAATCCCGAGTGAAGAATTTAAAATTTGTATTCCTGTTATTGAATTTTTTATTGGATTCTTTTATAATCTTTTTATTAATAGTATGTTTTTCTCTGTTTGAAATTTGCAGCAAAGGAGTGGACTCGTCTATATGCAAGTGGTGCCTGATGATGCAATAAAAGCATTTTCTAGCAAATAACATCTCTGAAATGTAAGCTACTAAATGGGCATCGGGTTTTTCAAATGGAAATGGAAGTGGAAGAATTGATGTGACTGAACTATCAGAGGTTAATCTCGTCAAGCTCTTCAATACCAGTTGTTATTCGTCTTCCTCTTGTGGGAGGCGTCTGAGTCAAATTTGTATGAATAGATTTGTCTGCTGTTCTCCATCTTTCTCATGATCATCCTTGATATGATTTAGTGCTATACTTAATTCCATGCATTGATTCTGGATGAAGGGTATCAATTTAGTTTAAGAGAATGTTTGGGTGCAGAATTCCAATTTCAGATCCTTCGTAGAAAATCTTCCCGAGGAATTTGCTGTGTTAATAATTAAAAAGCATCTGGATGCAAGGACATTGTTGATGTTGGCCTTCGCCCTCCCTGCCCTTTGGCGAGGGATGCTTTGATCGAAACATATGGCTAATAAACATTCTCATTTTATTCCCTTTAACAAAGATTACTGTTTATTCAATGAATGAAATATCCTCTTGGATGGGGTATTTCATGTAGACTCAGTTTTTTTTGATAAGTGAAAATACCATTAACAGAAACAGGAGAATACAAGCAAGGAGGCTTTTCCATTCCATGTAGTAGCATCCAAAAACTTCACCATCTGAGTTAAAAAATGGGCCGCCCTATTAAACTAGAACTAAGCTTTACAGTACTAAAATTAGAAGATAAAGTATAAATTTTGCCCACCCAGAGAGCTTGTACACAGTCTACAACATTCTTTGCACCCGTGAAAATCACAATGGAAGTCCAGCTACGGTCTTTAACAAGAGATTGGCTTCAGGCAGTGCAAGCCCGTGTTCACACCGTTCGAACAGTTTCTTGCAACCTTACATTGGGAATATCTCACAATGAAATAAAGCTGAGATATTGTCAATGCAAGGCTGTAAAAGCTGCTTGAAAGGTGATTGATTCTATTCTGAGAGTACACGACATAGGCCCCTAGCTGGAGGTAGCTAGTGGTTAGGCCATCTAGTGGGTCCTCGTTGCTTCCAAGTTCCGACTTGACATTATTTCGAATTTTTTATTAGCCTCGGATGAAAGGTGCACCTTGAAGGAATTTGTGGACGACGGTATTGCAGCCTTGCCAGAAAAATATAACAATTTGCATGAAAATCTCTGGAGAGAGAGAGAGTTGTAACCAAGGTTCAAAGTATAGACACAGGCCGATATGCCAGTAAGGTGTATCGGTACTCCTTTTTAGGTTTTATTTATTTATTTTTTTGAAATCGGTTCAGAGGGATCGGTTTAAGGTTGATACCCTCTGAGCCAGTGTTTGACCCAATACAATACCTGGAGGGGTGTATCGGGAAGCCATCGGCACAATACGTATCGATACTTTGAACCTTGGTTGTAACAATTACCTCTATATTGGTTTCCATTTGAATAGTTATCAAACAGTTGGTTGGTTTTTATTAAAACAGCCTTCAATTGAGAAACACTATGGTCGTCCTATTAGCCTACTACAACGAGTTAGCATACAAGGTTATGGTTTGCCCGCTACTGTGGGTATCATAATAGCAATGTTTTACATGGTGTTTGGAAGCATGGGCGCTTTTTGGGACCGATTTTCAAGAAACAATGCCCATGCTTCTAAGACCCGTTTTTCACAAAAAAATGCTTATGTCGCGTAGGTACTGAGCAACACTATGCTGTTTGGTAAGGTGATTTTCATCATTGTTTTTCATGTATGTGCTGACAAGTAAGCACCACATAGGATACACATCAGTCAACCTTTGGGGGAAACGGTTCATCGATGCATGAAACGTCTGGGGTCCCGATTTTCAAGGCATGCCCGATTTTTTAATAATCGGCTGAACCAGACAATGAGATACATGTGCGTTTGTTGAAACACTTATATGGATCCGATGTGACACTTTTTTTGAAAAACAGCCATGGTTCCAAACATCCCCTTAAAAGTCGACCAGAACCGCTTTGGCCATTGGTTTTTGGGTCAGCAATTTGATCAATAATGATCAATAATGCAAATTTGTTCAAATACAGGATGCAATCTGGTATGATTTTGCATCCAATGTTTACAATGTTTTTTCGGTTGTGATAGGTGAAATCAAGAATCTTAATTAAGGTTGAAAGCAACCTACCTTACATCGACCAATTTTGAGTGCAAAAATAATTGAAACAACTACTTTATTTTCATTTTCGGTTACCAAATACCTGTAAAATTAAATTAAGAATGCTTACATCTGCACTCACAAAATACTTGTCTCCAAAGGCAAAAGAAATAAGCTATGGACTTCTGGCATATACCAGAAGCGGGGATTACATGGTCATTTGTAGGGGTGTTAATAGACCGGATTTGGATTGGATCCGTTCAAACCAAAATCAATTTAGGAGGCGTTTGGCAAGTCTTTTTAAAAAGATCTTTTAAAAGCTCAAGACTTAAAAAGACTAATGAGCTTTCATAGATAGATCTTCGAAGACCAAAGACCGTTTGGTTCCAATTTTTTTCAAAGTTCTTAAAAGCTAGAAAGACCAAAGACCGTTCGGCAAGTATACTTGCCGGTCCCTCTCACAATACATGTTAAATGTTATGTGCAGGACCCAATAACACATTCAAACATGCAAATATTATCTGTGGGTCCCACAACACAACAAAATTTTAACTTAAGAATCTCTCATTTTCCTCTCTATCTCACTAAGATTTCATTTTAAAGCTTATGATGAACCAAATCGTTGCTCCTCCAAATCTATTTGATCCAAGCTCCATTGGGTCAATCTAACCCCACAAATAGACCTATTCATGGGCCGGGTAGCCCGATGGCCCGGCCCGACCTGACCTGGCCCACACCCCGGTCGGGCTTGGACATGTAATTAGGCCCGCGGGCCTGACCTCGGGCCCAAAACAGCAAGCCCAACTGTGTTTCGGGCCGGGCTCAAGATTTGTCAAAAAAGCCCGGCCCGACTCGACTCAGCATTATATATTTTACAAAATATATAATATTTATTAGAATATAAATAAATAAATAAATAAATAAATAAATATATTAATAATTTAACATATACATTTTTTATTTTTTCTTTATAATTTCTCTCTCTATTCAGCCGCTTCAGCAATAGCAGCGACATGAGCTAAACTTTGAGCTTAGGCCCAGGTTGTGGGCCTGATGGCCTGGCCGGGCTCGAGCTCAAGCCTTAAAAAAATCTGTTAATGCAGAGTGAAAGCCTGACTTAGCCCATAAACAGGTCTACCCACAAATAGGTCCAAAATGCTCAAAAACCCCACCCTATCAAATTTTAACCAAAGATTCCCTCATGCTCTATCACACTAAAATTCTGTTTCAAAGTTTGGATTGACCGAACCACTATTCTTTCTAAATCTGTCCGATCCAGGCTAAGCTGCGCCAATTTGACCCTACCTATCGATTTAGAATGCCTAAAAACCCAATCCTTCCAAATTTCAATGAAAATACCCCTGACTGCCCATTAATATAAAAAGATTCTACTTCCTAAAATTACAAAATATCCCCTAAATTCAATTTGACCCAACTTTCCTAAAATGAAAAAATACCCCTAAATAAACTAACTTTTTTCATTTCAACTATTGTACTGTTCATCTTCCCCTCCCTCTCGACACACAGCGGCGGAACGGTGTTGCTTCCATCTTTCCTCTCCAGTTTTCTTTTCTTTTATTTTATTTTTATCTCTCCCTCTCTTTTCTCGATCCCCACTCTCACCGGCGATCTATCCACAAACGTAGAAACGACGACGACCCAAAACGCCATTTTTGTCTTCTTCACAGTGGCGACGAACATAGTTTAGACAATTTAACAACGACGACTCCATCCAACCTCTCTCATCGTTCCATTCCATCTCTCTCTCTTCCTCTCATTCCCCTTCTTTTTATTTTCTGAACCTCCGTTTTTTCCCAATCGCCGTTGCAAATCACAACAGCGACGATCTATCCACTCCATTCCATTATTTCATTCTCTCTCCCTCTCTCTCATTATTTATCTCTTTCTCTTTCTCTCTCTCCCTCTGTTTCTATCAGCTTTATCTTCTCTCCTACAATCATCCATAGCTCTTGCCATTGCATTTTTCTCCCTTTGCATTGAGTTTGAATCCAACATGGACCATAAGCTTGAACACAGTGAATAACAAGCCTCGGCCATCCATAGTTCTCGCCTGAAAATTGTTAGAAGAAGAAGAAAAAGAAGAAAAAGAAGAAAACCAGAAGAATAGAGAGTTTCTTTCGAATTTTTGTGAAAACCATTGGGAAGCTGAGGAGCTTGCATAGACCATAAGCTTGGTTAGGGGCTTCTCAGATCCAGACCATTTGGTCTTTTAGAGTCTTTTTTGGGATTTGTCTTTCAATCTAATGGGTTTTCATTAGCCAAACAAGACCATTTTCGGTTGGGGCTTCTAAAAGCCCAAAAGATCTTTTAAAAAGACCTGCCAAACAAGGCTTTAGACAGATTGAACGGATCAATAAGACATATTGAATTAGACCAATCCAGACAATGGTCCAAAATATTTATTGGATTGGACCTAATCCATCCATAATAAATTTATATTGGATTGGCTTTGATTGAACCAATATCTGATCTATTGGTGGAAGATAAAAATATGTATCAATGGACCAAGTTTGAGTTAGAATTAATGTGAACTAAAATAAATTTAAACAGATTGAATAATCCAGATATTAAATTGAACTGCTCTAAAATATTTATTGGATTGAACTGGACCTGCCCATTTGTAATAGACTCGCATGGGAGATTGAACTAAATCCAGCCCAATTGACACCCAAGACTCATTTGGGCTTTTAATCAATGCTCATTACTCAAGCAACTAATTTGATTTGATTTGAGGAGTGTTGATGACATGTTTCCATGTTCAGGAGGACATCTTTATATATAGGGCCTTTGTTAAGATAAGATGTTTGAAAATTTGTTCAGTCAAAAGTTTGCCAACTGTCAAAATTAGGATGATCAGGACATCCTCCTACTTTGAACCTTGAACCTGAAGATTAACACCTGCCCCAAAAATCAGCCAAAATTGTGATGCCAATCTGAAATACTGATTTGACGAGTTGAAACGCGTATGAATTAGGGACAATTGCTCTCAAGGCATGAGATGAGATTCCTCTGGCGTATTATCTCTACCATGCCAATCTGAAACTTGGCTTTTTATTGAGAAAAAAAAATGCAAAATACAAAAATCTGATGCCAGGTGGATTATTTGGTAAATAATAAATGTTCATAGTTGATGTAGTCATGTAGAGCCCACTCAAAAATTTGACGAGTCGCCTCAGTCACGGGTCGGACCCTGGACCCACCTATCCAATATTACAATATGGATTCCCCTCTTACAAAAAGGATGAATAGTGCATACTAGACTTTCTCTGCTTCACCAACATTTTATTAACATGCTCAATTAAAAATTTCGATTGATGAAAAAAATCAGATGGCTGATGATGAACAAACATCTTTTGGTTTTAATGTGGGACCAGACTATCTAGACCGAGAGTCTCTACGGTGTGGAGATGCAGAAGCTACGTTTTTGCTTTGCTGAGGAGGGGGCATGGCAAAAGAGGAGAGATCCTTCATCTCCTCGTTGTTGGGCAAGAAGTAAGTTGTGGGGTTGGGTTCCCTTGGCTTTGTTGGGCCCCCCTGTAGTGGGACCCTCTCTACAATCTGCCTCCTCAGTATATCATGGAGTCTTCCGAATAGCTTCTGCTTCAGTGTCTCAAATGCTCTGTCAAGATTCTCAATCTGCAGCAAACGATCATGCAAAAACAAAGTCAGCAAACCCCTGTTAGATAATGTCTTACAAGTACTAGTTATTCCAATTTGGGTCATCGTATGGGTCCCATCAGATAAGGATCCAATGGCATAAGCACCAAGATATGGGCCTTACAGCCAAATCATCATATGGGTTCCATCATATGAGGATGGAAGTAGGAGTGTAAATGGGTCGGATTCGAATCAAATATTTGAATAAGACAAATAGATAATATCTGAATTCGAATGTGACTAGAGAATTTGATATTTAAATTTGATTAAATATTTGAATATTTAATTTAATCGATTAATTATTTTTGGTAATTAATAAATATTTTATTTATATAATTATATAAATATTTAAATATTTTATATATTATATATAAGTAAATTCGGATAGTTATCGAATTGAATCAGTTCATATCTGAGTTTTGATTTGATTATTTAAATGGTATGAATATGACATCTAAATTCAAGTGATTATGATATTCAAATTATCCAAATTCGATTTAATTATATTGAATCTTAAATTCTAAATTGAATTCAAGTGACCTAAAATTATAAACAATCTTATTCTTTTCCTCTCTCTCTCATTTTTTTGCTAGGATGCTTAATCTATTCTCAAAATTCAAATGGGAGATGGTAAACTTGCCTGCTCAGTGGCGTTTACGTTATACATGAAGAGCCCATAATAGAGATCGAAGCTATCACTGACCGTATTTTCAGTCTGCAAGAGTCCAAATACAAGACTAATACATCAATATCTGTTCGATTTATTAACTAAAATAAAATAGGTTCTACTTCAAATGGATCCTGATAAAGCTAATTACCAGTTGTAAGAGTGTTTCATAGCCCTTGGTGTTGATGGATGTGGACTCTAAGTTCAGATGTGACAAAATCCTGGAATTTTCAAAAAAAAAAAAAGGAGGCCCATTAAGTCAAGGTTTTTATTTTTTATTTTATTTTAATAATCAAATTTCTTATAATATTTATCAAACTATATGCAATTTTTTTAGTAAATATATACCTTCCGATGGTGTGGGTGATAAATTGGCTGCCGGCGGCATGTCTATCATGTTCTTCACAAGACATTTCGACCATTCTGCATCCCTGAAAAACCCCCAAAAATCATTTGTTTAATTAATTGTACAGAAAATAATATTTAATCATAGAATTAAAAAAAATAAGGCCATATGATAGCAATGGAAGGGCTAAATGTTTAGGCGTAGTCAGATGATTAAAATTTTGCAATGGATCGGAGTGTAGTGGTCAATATTGTATAATGACCCTTTAATATGTTCCTACAATAAATGTTTTTGGGATTTGACCTGTTTAAGGGGTAGGCAGTAGGGGTGTCAATTGGACTGGATTTGGTTCAATCTGTTTCAATCCAATAAATATTTTGGATCGGTCTAGAAACTGTCCAATTTATTTAAATTCCTGTTAATTTAGATTGGTTTCAACCCAAATTTGGTCCATTGATACCTATATTCTTATTTTTTATGGATCATATATTGACTCGATCCAATATAAATTCATTATAGACAGATCAGGTCCAATCCGAGATGTCATATTGGTCCCTAAAACCGGTCCATTGACACTAGGCAGCCCTGAACATATTAAAAAAAAAAAAAGGAAAAGTGCTACCCCAAATATACTGATACATAACATCCTTTGAACCTTAGGCACAGCAGCACTGGCCCCCCATTAAAATAAACCCGGCCATCTCCATCTGGGGCTATGATTTTGATCCCTAATCGGGGCTTGGATCTACTACCAATGAGTTGTTTCAACATCCCTACCCACAAGTGATTATATTATGTGCGAACATTTTGATCCCTAAAGAGTGCCCTAGCCCTCTTTTGTCGAGAAGGACCGGGTCCGGAAAAGGCAGGCCGTGCTAAGCAAGCACCAGCAGCAAGTTTGGAAACGTCAAATTACGTTACGTGCATATTTTGTCTTCTCTGGACAAACAATTACAAACCTCTCGCTCGAAGATGCTTAGAAACTGAGCACATTTCTGGCCCTGCACGCTGTTTTCCGCAATCCGGACCTTGTCGAAGACGAACGGGAACGCGGCCCAGCCCTGCTTTCCACTCTCCGGTCCGAACATCGGGTGCGTGCAAATAATGCCGAATTCCGGTGGAAGCACCTGAAATTTCACCCTATTAATTTCCGGTGAACTTCAATTCCATATACATCATATACAAGCTGGGTAGTGGGTACCTCCAAAAGAAGATTCCTGGGGAACTGTTTGACCGATAAGACGTCGGCGAAGATGGTATCTGGCTTCAACTTGTGCATTGGGATGCTTCGGACAACAGTCTCGGTTGACAATATAGAACAACACACCAATATCACATCTGGCTGTTTTTCGCAGAACTGATCGATATCCCTGTTAATTTGTTATGTTATTGACACGTTAGTGTAGAATTGCAGCTTAAAATCGTGTAGACAAAGCACCCATTTGAGTTTTAATTTCCTGTTACGTTGTCGAGATGTACAGGGTACAGTAGTTCTCGATCGGAATAACCGATCGAGCTTACCTGAAAAATTCAATGCCACTTTCTGCACAGTACTCGGAATAATCTGAGCGGGATGTTGCCAAGACGATGTGTCCTTGTCGCTTGAGCCGCTTTGCGATGAACTGACCGAAGTTGCCGAACCCAACGATTCCAATTCTGAGAGGATCTTCGGGCGTGGATGTGGTCTCGGAGGGGGCGACGGATGGTTGCGAGGAGGAACTGTGGGCGTGGTTCAGTACGTGGGGGCGTGTCAAAGGAAGGGTTCGTAGTATAAGTTTGCTGACATTAGAGGAGCTTGATCTGTAAGAGACAGTACTGAGGTTATTAGTAGTGTTGGTGAAGGTGGTAATGGTGTTTTCTGGGGCCAAATTTGGAAGCAAAATTGGCTGGGTGTGGGGTTTGCAGTGGCAGAGATGGAGGAGAGAGGCTGCCATTGTTTCTCTTCTTCTCGCTGCCACTCAGGAGCTAGCCTTTGATAGCGTAGGTGCTTTTACTGGTCTCCCAATGCACAAAGTTTCAGGGGGTTCTTTAGGGTTGGTGGTTGTGAGAGCCGAGAGGTAGTCTTATTTATACAATAATGCTTGATTTGTATTTCCTTGGGGATTTCCTTGGGTATTCCCCAGGAAAGAGAGTCTTTAGAAGGAAGGAAGGAAGAATTTGGCTCACTGGGTTGGTCGAATAGTCAATGAAACATCATCTAAGCCATGACGTACATTAATAATGTATGTAATCTGCTTGGTTGAACACCTAGATAATTAATCTAGTTAATTAGTAGTGATTCAGATATTGAGAACATAAGAACATGATTAATATAATATATGCTTCTGACTTATGCCACGTGGAGTACTAATAAGGGTACGTGTAAGTGCATCCCACCTTACCCATGCATCTCTATTTGTTTTTTTATATTGTCTAGGTAACACGTGCATCTCACATGGCTCATCTTTTGTTGTATAACGACAATATTCCATATATCAGCCATGTAAAATGCATGGCTTTTATCTATAAAAGGCAAAGTTTATTACTTGCTTTGCAACGTAGTAACCACGAGCACCGGGAGTGAAATAACTTCCGAAAATCTCTGCAAACGGCACAAAGTCAATAAACGCCAAAATAAAGGCCTTCAAACCATAGTTTTCAAAACCGGACCGGATCGGAAAAACTGGGAACCGGTTACTTGATCGATTCCATTTTTTCTCAAAATCATTGATTTTGGTCAGTAAACTACTGAACAGGCCGGTTAATAGTTTGAACATTTTTGATTATTTTTTTGTCAGAATGGGCTGGCCATTCAGGTTGAACGATTGGACCATTCGAACAGGTAACCAGACCCCTGACCGGTTCGATCACCGATTTGGTTTTAAAAACCATGCTTCAAACCGAGTCTGGATCTCCTGTCCACACATACTCTGCCATGTCTACCCACATAATACTGCAGTCACACACGGAGAACATTCTCCTACATGTAGTATTATTATGCAAGGAAATTGTTCCCAATTCAAGGGGATAGTATGTTGTGAGTAGATGTGGGCAGAGTTCTTGTGGACAAGAAATCCAAAGTATAGCAAAACCATAACACAGTTTAAAAGCTCCCTAAAAAAGTAATTCATGATAAGGAGGTACCGGTTTTATTTCAGTTAATAAAACAAATTGATGTATGTATATATATATGTAAACATAAAAAACTGAAAAAATAAGGAACTGAGATAGATCGGTTAAAAGATGGGGTTCAGATGAGGTAGGCACGAAGTTGTAAGCACATTCAATGAGCACTTGAATTTTTTTTTGACACCCCTCTCTTAAAATACATTCACCCCACCCTTGAAAAAGATTAATACCCACTTTTGACAGTTGTCAAAATATTTATCAAGTGCTCATTTAATGTGCTTAATTTGACGTGCCTACTGGATGTGGTCCCTAAAAAAGGTGGTATTGATTCGATTTAAGAAAAGTGCCCACGTGGCACCCCTAATGAGTAGATGCAATTAAATATGGCTTAAACGTGTTTGGTATAGCTTCCGTTTATTCACTAAATATTTTTACTTGATTTGTTTACAAAACCGAGAAAAACAATAATGAAATCATTTATTGAAAATTAACCATTACATCATAAAAACAGTGAATAAATGACTACCTGTTGGGGGAACCGCTATTATGAAGCTTCCCTCAATGATAGACGTATACATAAATCAAGGCATGCTTTTACAATTCTCTATGCGTACGAATCAACATGATGAGCTAAATGCTGAATTGATGTCTATGTAACAACATTTATTGAATAAACACCCATGGTTCCAAACAACACCTTAATCATTTTCACAATTTATTTATATTTATACTTTCTATGATGTGGTGTAGGGAAAATTACACAACACAACGATTAGCTCTGTCCATAAATACTAAAAAATCGAGACCCCAAGGGATTCTTTTGAATGAAGATCTCTCGGACCTATCCTTGATACCCTTTATTGGTCAACCAATGCGTTTGCTTGATTTCCTTCTCTATGAATGTGATGAATATATTTGATTATGAGCCCATGGTTTAGAGCTAGCATATTACACCATCTCTTATCATAGTTTGGAATTTTAATATATAAAAACAAAATTAAAGATGGATAAATTATTGAAGATCCATGACGAGCCCAAATTTCCTATTCACTTTTTTTATCCACTCTCTACCCACTGTGAATTAGAGCCACACATCTCTTAATTCATAATAGAGATGTGTGGCAGCAATTCAAAGCGGGTAGAGAGTGGATAAAAAAAGTGAATTGGAAATCCCGAGTGATCCATGACCGGGAATTTCGCACGTGGAAGTTGTTTTTTCATTAAATAATTGTTTAATGAATGATCAATCCCATACTCATGAATGATTGAACGAATCCACCGCGTAAATAAGTAATGACATGTTTATTAGATGGGTTGGCGTTGATGATTGGAAAATATGGACTCGGTTCTGTCGCGTCGGGTCGGGTTTCGATTTTAATCATGTTTCCAAAAGATGCTTTTCATCACGTGTAGATAATGCCTCGTCACAGTTAAGTTAATCACATTTTGCCACGCACGACAATACCATATAACACTGTTTTGAAACAAGGAAATCAAAACGTTTTGATGTATTATCCTGATCGCACCTTGCGGCATTAGATAAAGTAACATCTTGGAGGAGCCATTCATCTACCCGTATATATGGAACATCAATTGTGTTATGATCATCGATATTCTTAACGTATGACTAAATGAATGTGACTAGCAATGTGCTATACTTAGCAGTTCCAAATTCATGGGACCACAAAATTGAACTTTATAATTGAGAGAGAAAAAAAAAAGGAAAAAAATTGTCTTATTCCAACCCATTGGCAATTGGACAACCGGACAACTTAGCGGACAGAAAATGGGACAACTTTCCAACTTACAACAAATCACCGTTCTCAACTTCCCGTTTTTTTTTTTTTTTTTTTTTTTTTTTTTTTTTTTTTTTCTTTCTTTTCAGGAAAAAGCATCTATTTATTATTTATTTTTTGAGGAAGAAAGAAAAAGTATCTAGTTAAGGAAAAATTTTGTTACTTGAATTATTTAATTAAGGATGCAAGCTTCCTTCAAAACAAGCTGGACACGTATCCTGTATTAAAAATTCTAGATGATTATGCAATATTGCAATTGGTATTGAACGAATAATGACAAAGCAGGATTCATGTAGCAATCCCATGTGCATGCATAAATGAGATAAGGTTTAGATGATGAAATATTCTTACTGATTATGTATCAATTAGTTGAATGATTTGATACCCGTTTACGTCCTCAATTTAAGAAGTCAAATTAAACTCGCGATTTAATGCATAATGATTTGGGCTCCGTTCGTTTTTCGATAAGTTATTTATTCGGGTAAATGTAATTTTTTGGATAAATTTTTTCTGGAAAACACTTACTTAGGTACATGCATTTGTCCATGTTCTTTGATTTCTTAGGTAAATAAGGCAATGACCATTTTAGCTATAGAAATTCATTATTAAAAGGGACATTTTTATCCCATTCAAACATTGGCAAATTTTCTCTTATGTGGGAAAGTTATTTATCCACCTAAGAGAAGGATATCACTTTTTTGAATAAACAATATACAAAAAAGTAAACTTTCCTTGGTCTCCTCATAAAGCTGAAAAAGGAACATGGGGTTCTTAGTTAATGGAAACCAAAATCCTATTGATCAACTTTTCCCCTCTCCAAATCCAAAAAATAGAACGCCCCCAAATTATTATTTGAAACAAATAGAGACCATTAGGTGCCAAAGAGAGAACCCCAAGTAGAAATAACTTTTCTGAAGTTTTCTTCAATTCCTTTTGTAAGCACATGTAGATCACAACCGCACTACACTGCGACCATAATCCAAATATGATCTCATTTTAAAACATTTGTATCACTATTTACATTGGACTATGTGAATGAGGTATTGGAAGGGAAAATCAGGGTATTTTCACTTGGATAGTCTTATGTGGTGCACTAGTAATACTTATATGACTAAAACTACAATAAACAATTGTGAATTGCATTGTTATTTGCCAAAACATCTTATTTCCGATGTTACAATTCAATTCGATTCAAGTATAAATTATTGACTTAAAACACCACGGTACCAAACACTACCCACACTTCTCCCTCTCTAAATCTTTATTGTTAAATGGCACAAGATCCACCATACCATGGAAAACGTGACAGATAAAACCTTAAGCTAGGTTTTCAATTGGATCAAGTGGGAAATCCATTAATAGAATCTTAATGGAAGGTAAAAGTGAGACTAATTTCAGTTTTATAAAGCCTGTAAAAAAACCGAGATTAATTTCTCTCATCTTCACATCTGCAATGGTAGAGATTTGATAGAATGGGACAAAATGAAAAGTGAAAAACAAACCAGACAAGGGATGGGGGATCGATCCCACATAAGAGAAAATTTGTCTTATTATTAAAACGAGACAAAGAAGGGTGATCGATCTAACATGACTATCAAAAAAATAATAATAATAATATTATTATTATTAAAAATCTAACATACGTTGAATAAAGAGCACCGGGTTGCATTCGAACAAATATGTCCAATAGGATAATCTGGGTTTCCAAGTTTTTTTTCGTTCATTTAAAAGGATTTTCTTTATTTTTATTTGAGAAGTAATTTCATTTGTATCAAGAAGAAAAAATAAAACTCAGAGTAGATGACAAAAAAAATACTCTCCATATTTTGACTTTTATGCCAACCAACAGTTCTTTTTGGTCTTTTCTGCCTCATTTATCAAAAAAAGGATGTTCCATAAATTCCTTCTTCTTTCACTTTATTTCATTTCGATTTTGATGTCTTGGTGGCCTAATTGGCCTATCCTACGTCTTATTTGACAATTTTTGTTTTTGTTTTTTCCCTTTGGCACATTCAAGTTGGATTGTACAACTTGAAGAATTTCGCTTACATTGGAATCAAATTAGGGCTCGGGTCATTGAAAATTTAATAAATTGTCAATCCAATCAGATTCAAGTTGCATCCCTACTAATTAGCCACTATTTTATAAGTATTTTTGGT